GGACTAGTAAATTAGTTATTAATAACACTTGAAGAGGGAAGACTGACTAATAAAATTTGATGCTTTTGGTAGAAAAATTACCTACCTTAGGTGGCACTGGCTTAACAAAAGAAGGACGCACTGGAAGGCCATAGACCTTGATCTGTGAAGGCTGCAGTCTAGCCTTTAATGCCCTCTTTGTCACTTCAGAAGAAGGACAGTAGCATCTTGTTACGAGCCTATGGAACCTACAACATACCAAACGAAAGAAAAACTATGATGAACTCATGAAGTATTGTGAATATAAACAGAAGCTAATTAATGATGTTAACTGATTTGTAAAGTAAGCGTACCATGTCGGGTGGCATGTGCTCAGATCTGTCACAACCGTAGTAAAGATTATCTTCTTCAACAGACCTTTTGCCCTTAGGATACGAAGCGGAACATGTTGCATTAGAGGATGTACACTAATAATAATATCAGGTTGGTACTTCATCAACCCTTTCGCAACTTCTCTGCACACGAAAACCAAAAAGTCCAAATCTTGTAAGCGAACTCTGGATCTAAATGACCATCAGAGAGAATACTAATTATCACAAAAAGGCAAATTTCTCAATTTTTTATACGACAAAGACAAGGTGATTGAAAAATAAAACAAAGAAAAATTCTCACCGAGCTATAAATGTTGAGGTTGCCGCAAAATGAGGTTGATGCACCAAGCGAGGGGCGGTGCCATAGTATGTCATTTTCCATAAAGCACCGTGCTTTACCAAGAAGTTATAGCTCCTAGGCAACTGATTAAACGGCCATGGGGTGTGGTCGGTCCACAGGTCCGTCACGAACACCTGCATCGGCAGATAATTTCGAAGCTAAAACCAAGAAAGCCAAATCACACAACCAGAAGACGAGACGCTACTAGGAATAACCTTCCTTACCTGGTACTCGTCTCCGAATTCCTGATTGAAGGCGGCCTTGATGGCTTCCGCCGACGCCCGGTGTCCTCCGCCAGTATCGCTCATCAAGATCAGAACTTTTTTGGGCCTCTCGTACTCTGCCACGCCATTGACGGGCACGCCGTCGTCCTCGACGACAGCGGGGCCCTCACCATCCAACCGGATCTCATCATTCGAGACACCGATCGAGCCGAACCCAATCGGGACACGGCGCTCGCAGTGGAGCCGCAAGAACCGATTGAACTCGCCCCAGAGGCGGTGGAGCCTCGACGAGGATAACGGCGCCCCTCCGGAGAGCGAGGCGAGAGCGGCCGGCCGGCGGTTCCTCCTGCTCGGGGGGGCGGAACACAAGGGTAAGCCAAAGGGGACGGAGGAGGAGGAGGAGGAAGAAGTAGGGAAAAAGGAAATTCGACCTAGAAAGGAGTCGAGGGGGAGAAGGCATTGGAGATCGAGGAGACTGGATGGCTCCTGACTGATGGAAGAGGGCGGCATGGTGGCGAATTGGACGGAAGGCGAAGGCACATGAGCGGGTTTAGTTAGGGTTTAAAGGAGGGAGAGAAGAGAAGCGAGACGAGGAGACCGGAATGGGTTTTGAGAGGAGGAAGGCACGAACAGAGGGAGCGAGGCGAAGAGAACGAGCGAGGCGGAAGGTGAGCCACACACGGCGCTTACGAAGAAGGATGTTTGTTGGTGCTATAAAAAAGGTTTTGGAAGGGGAAAAAAAGGCTTGTGGACAGTGCACAGTAGATTTCACTGAAATGACCCAAATACCATAATATATTTGTGGCGGAAATTGAGAAGCACATCATGTTGTCGCTTTAGATGGAAATGATACTCTATGATATGGCATTATGGATTCTAATAGCATTAGAGACACCAATAGTGCTCGCTTCGAGTATTGAATGGGTTCAAAACAGTGGGTTGGGCCCAACGGTGGGCCATTGAAGACACCAATGCATGATGGAGATGCCAATATTATGATAATAAGCGCGAAGGATGGAGTCTCTCAACTGCGCATGTGTGTGCATAACACGTGTTACATGTACGCACACGCGCGTCGGTGAAGGCGGCGTGAGAACGTTGCGTGCACCGACCACGGAAGCAGGTCAGACCCTCGCGTGGCGCGCGTGGTCCAGTCGAACGTGCATGCGTGCGCACGTTAAACGTCGACTCTAATGTGCATTTGGTGCACCACTTATTAGTCTGGTAATAATAAATTAAGATATTTCATTCTATAATGATGGCTTGAGTATGCGTGGTTTTGTCTCTCTGATCAGGTCAAAAAAGTTGACCGATTTGGGTGTGTGGAAAGATGAGGTGAGAAAAGGTTTGTGTAGCTGAGAAGGGTTTCTCACTTCGAATTCTTCTTAGCCTATGTTGGTGCTTGTCACATCACAATTGGTAATAAATATATAATTGTGGACGGACTACTCCTTTGCCTAATTCTAATAATAATAATAATAATAATAATAATAATAATAATAATAATAATAATAATAATAATTCAAGTGAACATAGTACATACAATATGTATTGGTCAAGAGCTATAGGGCATAATGACTTAATCACATCCTTATAGTTTTTTTCTATTTAGCAATGTAAGAGTTTTAAACATAGTGATGATAACAAAACTTGATATGTCGTAGGACTTAACACTTCACTATACCAACTACTTATGTTCGTGTTCCAGGTTAATTATAGATTATCTACTGTAATTAACCTCATTCAGTATTTCAAATTTTACACTTTTAAATTATATTGAGATTTCTATACTTATAAAAGAGAAACATTGATATCCCTATAGAGGATTAAAATGATAATTTTATAAGATTAAAAATTAAGAGAGAAAGAGAAATTTTGTTGAAACAACGAATTTAAATGTTTCACTTTCGTAAGTATAAAGATTTTAATATAATTTTTGAAAGAATAGAGATCGAAATACTAAAGATAGTTAATTACATAAAGTAACTTATAATTAACCCTCGTATTTTTGAAGAAATATTTATATGAGAATAGAAGGTTTCCATAAATATGTCTAGTTTCCATAAATATGCTAATGACTAAACGAAATATAATATGATAGTAGAGTCCTAAATGGAGCATTAATGAAGGTTAGTAGAGTTCTCGTGATTCTCAAGCAAAATAAATTAATAAGTATTTATAATTTATGCCAACCTAAATGGAGCATTAATGATTTCATAACAAAGGTTAGTCATGTTCTCATCAAGCATATATCTATAGCAATCTTAAGTATTTCTTTTCAAGTTCGTAATAAATCTCTTGCAGAGGTGTATTCTTTTCATATTAATTTCTTTATTATGGAATGGCTGATAGTTCCAAGTTATAGGTCAGTTGCCATCAACATGAACAGCATGCTTGCCATCTCAATAAAATTTGGATTAGATGCTACTTATCCCACTGATTCCAGCCAAAATATATATAGCCTTTGCAACAAATAAAGGATGAAATGCAAGTCTTAGCACAAGGAACACAGCCACAGTGATTCTCTTTATCACCATAAGCTCAAGGTGGATTCATCACCCCACTCCCCCATAAAATGACCTTTGACTTAGTGAACAATCTCTCTTATTGGCTTCCAAGAATCCAACTAAATCAATAAATAGTTTTGTTAAAAATAAAGTTAAAGATAGTCAAAACCAAAATATATATTATCAAACTCTGTCGATTCGAGATTAGTTTTGAGTTCATTTTTATCTTTATCACATACATAAATATTCCTTAACATTTATTCTTTATATTACATATTGGATGTGAGAAATACGCTTAGGATAACGATTATGTACCTTAAAATTTTACTTCCTTTAACTCTCTTTGAATTTATCATAGTTTAATCTATTTATCGATTTAATGTGTTAGATTTATGCCATTGCTCTTACTGTTGTCACTTCAAATAATATCAGGAATTGGAGTCCTGATATTAAATAGGACCACATGAATGCACTAACGGGAGAGGATTCTCAAGACAAATGGCTACAGTAATTATAGGGGGCTGCCTATCAGTAGGTAGAGTGGGTTCTACAGGAGATTAATGACAACCTCTCATTTCCTTATATATTGCTGCAAACCTTAAACATGCATCACTGCAGAGGTGTAGTGAAGATTTCAATTCACTGGCACCACAGAGACAAGAAAACACAAGCTTTGGTTAGTGCTTTACCCCTTCATATACTGGCGTTTCTTCTCCATGGTCGCAACAGCCATCACAGTACTATTCCTCTATTACCGAGATGACAGCAGCATGGATTGGTGTTGAGGTCTGTCGTCTCAGGGAGCGCAGTGGTCGCGCAGTGTTCCCCATCTGCACCACACAGTTCCTCCTCATTTCAAAGGAGGAGTAATCTTCCAAGTGTTGAATTGTCAACCATTGAGATCGATAAGCTTAGCTTGGACATATCTGATGTCCTTGAGACCTTTCATGGCTGGCCCTGCTCTGAACCCGAAGCCTTCTCTCTGTCTGAATTTAATAGAGAACAGTTTCCCTGGTTGCGTTCTTCTTGTCATGATCACAATTGCTTTGTATGGATGGTGTACAAACACTGGGAAGGTTGATATGACATATATATATATATATATATATATATATATATATATATATATATATATATATATATATATATATATATATAATAATGACCTTATCATTATGACTTTTACAGATCCACCTATGTCGAGTCAATCATATAACATGCTGTGTGATTTGGCAGAGCTACAAGTATGAGTACACTATTGAACATTAGAATCCATGATCCAAATGATGAGATTATACCTCAAACGACTGCTTAGATACAGAAGAAGAGGAGGAGGATGTTTCTGATAAGTTCAGCAAACGGATCATGCAGTGGACATCTCTGCGTTCCAGGAGATGCAGAGTCCTTTGCTTGTTGGTTTATGGCACATGGGATGGAGAGCTCAACCAGCCAGCCGACTGCTGCAGCCAGTGTCGTTTTCCGATTCGTACAAACACAAATATAGTGTTTGAATGTTTCCGTCAAGTCTCATTAATTTACTCTGGCCCGGATTGTAAGGCTGGCCTCCCTCTATCTTGTTCGTAGTGATGTCTATAAAAGCAATCCCCCCATGGCTGTGTCGTTTCCCTCGCTAAATGTTCTCTCTCTGCTCACAGCTTTTCACGGTGAAAAGGAGAAGGCTAGAGTGAGAAAGAGGGGTGGGTCTCATTTTTTACTTCAGCTCTTAGGAGTATGAGAGAGAGAGAGAGAGAGAGAGAGAGACTGTTTTCTCCTTGTCTCAGTGGATGTGGCGGCCGAAGCTTCCCAACAGTTGACTGTGTTGGATACGTGAAACCCGGGGGATACATTTGCTTTGCGTTCCCCGCCTGATCATCTATCTATGAGCAACGGTTTGCTCTTCTCTCGTGTTCGTCTCTTCCCTGAGAAGTGGAGAAGGACACGCAGGTCTTTTTGTGTTGCAGGAGGAGGTACTGGTGTACAAGAGTTGCCTTTATTGCCTACTTCGAGTGTTGGGTGCTGAGGAAGAAAGGGTAGATTCAACAAGGATGGTGGTAAACACTGAAGAGAGAGAGGAGATAGTAATATCTGGTGTGTCAATGGAAGTAATTAAATACATTGACTGGTCCACATCTGTGCAGAGAAGAAGAGTCATGTAGAAGGCGGACAAAGAAGAGGAGTGCTTTCCAGGAGGGGATGGGTTTACCACCGAACAGAGAGAGAGAGAGAGAGAGCGAGTGAGATTGAGAGCAAATAGTAGGTGTAAGTGAGTCAAAGAACGTAAAGAAATAAATATATTCACTGTTTTGTCCTTGTATCTTTCCTTTTGGTTCAGGAGAGCAGAAGAAGAGTGATGGAGAAGCCAGAGAAAGGAGAAGGGTGCTTTCCGGGAAGAGATGGTGCTTTCTTCTTCTACTGCCATGGCAGCACACTTGGATGCTCGCTCCAACTAGTAGGAGGAGGAGGAGGAGGAGGAGAACTAAGAAAGAAAGAAGATGGAGGGACTTGCAGCCCAACACAAGGAAGCTGCAGCTGAACTCAAGATGGATTGGGCAGTTGATGGGAGGCTTCGACACACATTAGATGAAGATGAAGATGAAGATGAAGATGAAGACGAAGACGAAGATAAAGATACAAAGCTGGTGACTGTTGTCTTGCTTTGAGGTTTGTGCGTTCGTGGCGTGCGATATTGGCGTAATAGGCTCAATCACTTCTTCCTTACTGTCTCATCTTGTAGATGTTGCTTTGTTTTTGCTGTGGTGATGGTTGCTTCTATGCAAATCTTGTCATTTGTCTTCTCCTCTCCATTGTCCAACAACCATGTGAACGCATGCAATGATGGTTCAGATGCGGTGGGAAGGGACAACGGTTGGTTGGATTGATGTGCTTGTCTTCTATTACCTCCACAGCTCACAGAACTACTCCTATCCACCCCCTGTGGCTATGTTGCAGCACCGAGGAGGAAGAAGAGCTTGCTGACAAACTCTTTCCTCATTTCCTTCTTCCTTGTTAAGTTGAGAAACGAAAGAGTAAGAGCATTCAACCCCATTCGATCAATTGCCTGCTTGCACATACAGCACAGGGCCATTCTGTGAAGAGCAGCACAAGTGCTCCAAGCACAGTAGATCAAAGTGTTGACTCTCCATTTATGGATCATTGCATTAACATCAAGCAGTCATGGTTTGAAGTGGTGACTACTGTTGATGAAAACTGTCTAATGGAGAGAATCCTGAACTTGATTTCACCATGTTAATGAAAATAGCTGTTTCTGATATAAACAGAGAAGAGAATACTGCAAGCATAAAAAAAGTTGCTTTACCAAAGTTTATATTGTGTTCAAGCAAAATTTCTACCTTTGATGGTTAACCAACAGATGAAGAGCTTCACTCAACTTAGGACTCTGACCAGAACAAAAAGTTATCAGCAATCTTTCCTTAATCATTGAACAAAAGTAAGCTATATGAAACTGAATCTAACTACAATGTGGGACTCATTATTGGCCTATGTTATGAGTTGTTCATGCTGGTCCACTTGACAATTACAGATTCTGACTTCCATGGAAAAATCTACTGCTTGAGAATTTGATGGCACAGATACACAACAGCATTAGAAATGGATGCAGAACCGAAACTTCAGCTCACTCGGATGCCACATTAATTGCAAGAACTGAGCTTTTAGCAGCTGGCCTGACTCTGGCTTCCCTGGGGATATAAAATGATACTGTTGTTGAGAATTTGGTCATGCATGATAAGGATGTTTCTCCTTTTTCTTTTTCACGTTTGATGTTCTCTACTGTTTCTGAAGGTACAAATGTGTCGATGTTGTCCCCATCATCATCAACTTTCTCCCATTTCTGTTTGATGTTCCTATACTTTAGCTAATGGAGGCATGTCGATGGACTACCAACTCATCAATAAAAGGAATTTTGGATGTGTCTCACCATTCGATTATCTTCGTTAACTTGTTGAGTCTAAATCACTATATGATTTGATATGATATTAAATTAAAATATTATAATTTTAGCTACTTAAGACTTTGCATCCTCACGAACGATCAATATGATTTAGAATTAAACTATGATACAGTACATATGTGGTTCTGTGATATATCTTTTAGTCTTATTTATGGATGATTCATTATATATCAAATAGTAGTTCGGCTCTAATACTATTTATCAGTCAAATATGATAATTGATTCATTAGCTTATTGAACGTAAATTATTGATAAAAAATATTTGATAATTAACTTTTCTCTTACTTCGCATATAAGACTGACTGAATGAAAATATTACTTATAATGGACGGATTGAGAGACAAATAGTTAATGATTTTTTCAAGGTTTTGGATTCATTGATTCAATAGCATATGATGCAAAAGAAAAAAGAAAAAAATATTGATGTTCTTCATACAGTTTTTCCATTTGTATTTATGTTATTACTATAAAAGGGATGGCAATAAAATAAATTTATAATTGCTATTGAGATTGAATAGCAAGAAAGGCCATTTAGTGAAAGTTAAATCATTTTATTCAAAACATGCAAAGACTATGGATGAAAAGTAAAAGTGTGACAAATAAATTTAAAAGGATATTTGTTAATATTTCATACAGAGGAGGAATGCACATACTTTTGTACGGTAGCCTTTTATAAGAAAGTCATAGTGAATAATATCAAAATCATGCATTCCATCCTTTCCTATAGTATCAAATTATTCATCTGATTTGCTAATTTTCTAATCAAAATAAATGAATGCTTGAGATAATAAGAAAGATATGCACTATTATACTATGAGAAAGATTGATGAACATTACTAACTTATAAAAAGTAATGACATAAGATCAAAAGTATAATTAATTTTCATCTTAGAACAATGGAGGCCTCATCTCCCGGAGGAGTTGTAAGAATAATCAAGCCTGAGGCTCAGGGTCTGATCCCAAAAACATTGCTTTTGATTACAAAATGAGAGGTAAGTTTATCATATTTGAAAATATTATCAAATTTCACATTATTTCTTCTTAAGAATTATCCTATTGAATTGTCTATTATTCTCCATGCAACACTTAGATATTATGAACTAATTTTCATTTCTTTTCTCTGGCATCTATATCTTTGTCTTCAACAATCCAAAATGTTACTGTTGTGCCATCTATAACTTTCAACAATCCAATTTACACATTAGTGCTTAATAGTGTTGTTCTCTATTTATAGAAAATTGCTTATTTATTTATTTATTTTGACTTGGTGTTAGGAAATAAGACTTGCAACATCTGATCAAGAAGGAGAGCTTTATGGTGATAAAGCCTGATGGGGTTAAATGATTCCAGCATTAACTCCTGATCAAGGGTTCTTAGATTTCATCTAGCAAGTCTTTGAACTTGAATATCATTTTATGATCTACAATAATCAAAGCAACAAATCAAGAATCATGATGAGTGCTCAAAGGAAGAGATCACTTTAGTCATATCTCAAGACAATTCAATTGGACAAACTTTGTTTTAGAGAGAAGCTGAAATCAAATGCCAAGACAACTAATTGTACTAAATTTTTCTTTTTTTTTTTCCTATAAAAATCTTGTATGATTCATTTGAAATGTACAATTTGTGTCTTTTGTTTGTGTATGAATATCTTTTATTTATATTCTTCAGTGCAAAATTAAAGTGTGAATTAGATTTAAAACCTCAAACATATTATAGTCAACTATTTACCAATCTTTAAAAATCTTTTATTTAGAACCTAATTTATCTAGAAGACTCTGTGGTTATAAAAATAATAGTGAGCAATTCCAAAATCATCCATTTTATCCTTTCCTATTTTTTCAATCATTCATATGATATAATTGAAAATAAATTATCATAATATTTTAATCGAAATAGATGGATATTGAGATGATATAAGGGGTTAGATGAATTATATTGATAGAACCTTATAACTTTTTTTGTAAAAAAAAGGATAAATGGTGAATACAATATTATTAGGATTCATGACTCTTATCAATTATACTAGCTAATATCTTCAAAATTTATTAGATGATTTTTTGAACCATCAACGTTTGATAAATGGATTTGGAATACCCATTTTGGAGTTAATAATTTATTGAATAAATTTAAACCTTCAAACCTTGAGTGGATCTAACATAGTATCATGAGACTAATAGTTAAGGTATAAAAATTTATTAGATAAGATTTTGAATTTTCTAACTTGGTTAATGGATTTGGTATATCATCATCAAATCAATATTTTAGATTTATTTTTTCTGTACTTTATATATATTTTTATTTATATTATTTATATTCATATATTTGCTCAAATTTCATCAAGTCTATATCATAGTTTCTCCTCCAAATGACTTGCAATAAATCTTATAGCATGTTGGGTTCGGGCACCTTATGTAGCATGTTTTAGATACACTACTTTATGTTGGAAATGTATTAACAATATTATGAATTATATCCTATTATTAATAACAATACCATATACATAATTTGGATATGCATGATGATGAGGTGTGGTATTAGATGCCATGAAAGATAAATGACATTTACTTGAAGGAATAGCAAACCATGTATGTCCAAAGAGTGAACTACATTTCCAAAATCCCCCTTGCCTATTATTGTTATTATTTTGCTACCTTTACATTTGCTAGTAAAACAATAACTTGGATGGTTTCCGCTATAGAGAACTTTGCAATGGTATTTGATAACCACATTCTTCCTCTTCCGTTTTATGTCTTCTTGTGTTCATTAAGTTGTCTAATAGATTCTTCTCTTAGATGTACCGTATCTAAGACATGAATTCACACTCATGTGTTGGACATGAATTCACACTTGGATGATATCATGTGATGCAAATTATTACTTGGATGATAATATCTTCAAATTTTATTGGATGAATATGTTACAAAATCATGCATTCCATCCTTTCCTATAATATCAAAAATTTTATTTGATTTGATAATTTTCTAATCAAATAAATAATACCATATGGATAATTTTGAATATGCACAGTGATGTCGAGGAAGATAAATGAGCTAATAATAGTGTGTGGGAAAGCAACATCATTTACTTTATAAAAATTATTTTTATTATAAACATGCAAACTCTATAGATGAAAAGTAAAAGCCAGACAAATAAATTTAAAAGGATGTCTATTAATATTTATGCAAAGGAATGCACATAATACTGTGTAGGGTACCCTATAAAAGAATGTTAGAATGGATAATTTCAAAATCATGTATTCCATCATTTCCTAATAATATCAAATTATTCATCTGATTTGATAGTATTTTAACCAAAATAAACATGATTGAGATTATACAAAGGATTTGTGCTAGAAATACATGCATAATAATGTGAAGCATATCTTAGTATTAATGACAAACCAATTTGTTTATGTACAAGAAAGGCTATTTGGATATGCAGTGTTATATGATGAGAGATACAGAAACCATTATATAATATATATATATATATATATATATATATATATATATATATATATATATATATATATATATATAAGCAATGAAATAAAAATAATATATAAAATTATAATCAATTTCTATTTTTAATCAATTTTTAAAAATATATAAAAACAATATTTTATTCATTAATTTTTATCATTATTATTTTTATTATTTTTATCATTAATTTATTTTTTATTATTGATAATAAATCTGACGGGTTGATTGACTTATCAAGTTGGTTTGACCTAAATCATTAATTAAAATACTTAGACTAAAATTATAATCAAATTCTTATAAGTCAATATTAATATTATTCAGACTAATCATGGTGTAACATCCATAACTTTTGAATCTACATCAAAATTCTCTCTATTAAAAAAAAATACTATCTAATCTTAGATTCCATAAATTAGCATCAATTACCCAAAAGAAAAAGAAAAAACAATTAATATGATCTTTCTTGCATAACATTTGTAGTTGTAGTCTGAACATGAAGGCTAAATTACTAGTCCTACTGGCAAATGGTCACCAAACTAAGTCCAATGGAGCTACTAAAGTGAACTATGTGGTCATTAGAAACTGTGTACAAATCAATTATATTAGATGGAGAAGGTGTGTTTAATAATTTTATTATCTATTTATATAAGAAAATTTACTTGTTTATTTATTTTGACTTGGTGTCAGAGACTTGCAAAGTTCTATCAAGAAGTAGAGCTCTAAGGTAATAAAGCTAGATGGGGTCAAATGACCAAAGCATTAATACTTGATCAAGAGTTCTAAGATAACAAATTTTGAATTTGAATCTTACCATGTGATCTACAACAATCAAAGCAAGAAATCAAGAAATCAATAATTATGAGATTTCACCGAGGATTATCGACCGTCTTAATCGACAATAATCAAATCAAGGAATTATGATAAGTTTTGAAGGAAGATATGTCTTACATCAGATATCAAAACAACTAATTGTGCTATATCATTTTCATAGTATCTCAAAAAATTCTCTTCTTTTCATGTAAAAGTTACCTATGATTAATTTGAAATGCTAATTTTTCTCTTTTTTTAATGCATGCATATCTTTTAATTTTATTTTTCACTATGGATCACAAAACAAAAGTTTGAATTAGATTTAAAATCATAAAAATGTTGTCGTTAACTAGTTACCAATATTATGCAATATTCTCCTGTCTATAACCTAATTTCTCTAGGAGATTTTATGTTTGTAAAAACAAGATTGTGAATTGTAAGTAACCCATCCAAGGAAATCTATCAATAATTGGACCAACATGACCCAAAATGGGAATGATTAGACAAGAGGGTTGAGATTAATTAGGTTTAGCTTATCTTTGTAGGATCTGATACATACAAACTAACTAATCAAAGAGTCTGCTAAGTGAAGGCTACTCTCTAATCTTAGATGTCATGACCTAGCATTAACTCCCCCCCTCCCCCCAGAGGTTTATGTGATCTTAATTTCTTGAATTATTTCCTCTTCCTTTCTCATGAGGACATGCATAACATCTCCAACTATTTGCTTCTAACTTGTCGAATTGTATGGATCTATTTCTCAGTCTTCAACAATTTAAAATAATATAGTTGTTTCTTTTCAAGTGTAACAGGTAGAGCTTCTGTAGTCTTTCTTGAAATGTCCTCTCTCATGTCATCTTTATGTAATCGGACTATTTGCACAAGATTGTTGTATTAGATGGAGAAGGTGTGCTTAATAATTTTGTTATCTATTTATATAAGTCTTTGAATAGATGATATGTTGTTAGAAGACACGGTTGAATTTGAAGACATTCTAGACAACTAATTTCATCAAAGAG